TTTATAATGTTTCTGCAAGTGTTCCAAACTGCATTTTGCAATGTCTGTACTTTGATGTCAAACTTCAAACTTAACAAAAATCTGACATATTTACAATATATATTAAAATAAAGATGAGTGTAATGGCAAAACAAATATATAAGAAATAATTTATTTGCCATGAATTAAGTTTATGATATTTGAAGAAATGTGTGATCATGCCCCAGTCAGTGAAAGTGTGTTTCCTACCCCTAGACCCCAGAGGGTTAAGCTGAGCTGACATACTTAAGCTAGGTGTGGTTTATTTCGTTTAAAGGAGGGGAACGCACAGCCATAAGGTGATCGCTATCGGAAAAGGAAACAGAGAAGGGCTCAATCTACCTGACTCATGATATAATCTTTCATTGCCGAATTTACCCTTTTTAAATCACTGCATTTCCCCAAATATCTGGCCCGGAGCCTCCCTGCCCACCCACTCTCACACCCAGGGCACAACAGGGACCATACGCAGAGATGACGAGGACACTGGTCTAGTCATTCCTGCAGGTCCTGGAGCTGGACAGAGTGGCCAGGCCCTAATTATAGCTGAAAAGGGTTAAGCTCTGGTTAGAGACACCAGTCATGAGAGAAATTAAAGAGCGGCTTGCTGGGCCCTCTAGGCATGCTTAGCTGCTTCCAGTGCTCTCCACAACCTCTCCAACATCAGTGTTCATCTTTAACCGTAAAAAGGTCCAGAGCTAGGCAGCCGCCTGACAGACACAAGCTGTGTGACCATCCCTTGAAATAACAGATCAGAGGGCAACATGCGACACACAGAACAGAGGGGGGCGGGCTGAACATACCAGAGGGGGTGCTTGGGGTGCAGTCGCGAAGTGGAGATGGAGCGCAGATGGCTGTCACACTCGGAGGCCAACTCCCGGGCGATGCCTGATGGGGGGTGTGTATTACATATCAATAAAACATATCCTCAGGCATTTTTCAGAGTTTGCAAAAATTCTACATTTATAAGGGTGTTAAAATAAGCTAAAATGAGCAGATTCATGACAGTAGTGCTGCCAATGTCATGATGGTAGATATGCCGTTCGCACCATCTGCTCATTCACTCACTGCAGCAGGGATGCGCCCTCATGGAAAAAAACAGACTTCCACCCAAAGGCAGGCTTTCCCAGAGCTAAACCAGCTCAGTTTTCAGTTTCACCAAACTTTCCTGGCAAAATGCTCGCGTAACGTAATGAGTCGACAATCACTGTCACAGCGAAAAGGACAGTAACCCCATCCCAAGCACAGAATTTGTGGACATCACTTGTTTCTCGGGTTGAGGTAAAGGACACCGGGCAGATTTGCTTATTTCCAGAGCAGCTTCCCTGGCCACAGAGTCAGTGGGCACCCTTCTCAATAAACCTGAGCTTGTTCTCCTTCCCTGAAACCGAAGCCCCCCCAGATGTGAACCCTGATGTTCCCCACCATGGTGAAGCAGATAGTCTCAGAATGCACCCCCCCCCGAAAACCCCGACTGGTAAAAAGTCTGCTTTGGGCCAGTGCAGGCTCTTGTGTCTTGGGTTTTTTTTCTTTTTTTTTTTTTAAATGACGCAGTACGAGTTCCTCTTGATTTATAAACACCTGAATGCTCTCTGACACCAAGCAGAACTATGTGGAGATCCAGGAGCATCTCAGAGGTCAGGGTCAGCGGTTCAGCTGTGTACCACCACCTTCCCACAAGAGGAAATGAAATCCAGATCTAGCAGATACCCCTCTGAGGTGTGCAGCTGAGGCCTGGAGAGGGTGCAGACCCCACCCCCTTCTGGCCTGTGACTGCAGTGCTGGCAAATAGCAGAACCTGCCACTTTGGACCTGGGGGGGTGGCCAACGTCTGTTCTGTGTTGCGTAAAACCAGTGCAGCCAGGGGGAGATGTTTAGCTACAGTGATCACTGACTGCCGGTTCCTCCCAGGAAGAAACATGCAGCAGCCACTCAATAATAAGAAAGCTGGGTAAATATGCTCCTTCAAGGCTACAAAACAGATCCAGGGGGCAGAGGTAGCACCAGGCAAGACGAAGCAGGCATCCGAGATGTGCTCCAACACAGACAGCCCACATTTTGTGGCATGCAGCAGAGCCCGATGGCACAAAAGCCCAGTGGATATTTGTGTGAAACCCTGAGAGATAGGGCCAGCTGCGCTCCCTGGACATTGCTCTGCTGGAGGAACATGCTCTGCGGTATGAAGCAGAAAGCCAAGGGCCTCAAATCAGTTACAAACAAAAGCGGATCCAAGTCATCCCAAAGCAGCCTGGTTACGGGATTCTGCTGGCCCTCCAAATCCCACAGACCAGACGGCAGGCCTGAGCCCCTGCCCAGAACAGTTTGACCCTGGAGAGAGACAGGCCATAAATGGCTGAGAACACACACCCTCAAGCTGGCAGAGCGCCCCAGCCAGGCCAAGCCCACTGTGGCTGATGTATTCTCGCCAGGACCTGTTCACCCCCCCACCCCGCCCCAATCAGGGGGCCAGAGTTGCACCAAGGGGCGGGAGGCTCCCAGGGTGATTAGGGTGTTCCCAAACATGTTGCTTGGGCAAGCCTGAACAGACAGACATGCACAGGGCAGCCAGAGGCACGCCTGGAAAGATGGGGGGGGGGGGGGGGGGGGGGGGGGGGTCTTGTGCGCATGTACCATGCAGGTGAGAAAAGGGCTGTGTTGGTGACATGCTCTGGGCGATTGTGGGCAACTCTCCGGCATACCTGTGAGAAGGTTAAAGAACCGCTTGCAGCGTGTGTTATGGCGCACCAGCAGGGTGTAGGATGCGGGACCTCCATCCTCGAACTGCATGTGCAAGCTCTGAGAGCCCAGGCCCACCTCCAAGTAGCAGAGGTCAGCCACACGGTGGTGCTTCCTCTTCTTCAGCCAATCAGACGGCTGGCCTCTGCAAAGGGGAGAGGACAGGGGTCAGGACACACTGGCCCGCTGAGCCTTTGTTTGGCTTGTTTGAGGCTGACATTCACAACAGCATCTCTGGGTGAAGGAGGCTTGTTGAGACTCATAAATAAAGCAGTGTTTCACTTCAGGTCATGGAAGGACATGTTCAACTGAATAAGGTAGCACAGGCTAAGAGATTCCAGATCACAACCAGGCTGAAGAGTAACATCAACATGTTCTTTCATTGAAGCAAAATGTCCAGTACAAGTCCTTTAATTAGGAGAAGGACTGCTTCACTGTGTCAGTATTGAATTCACCCAAAACATCTTTCACCCTAAGAATTGGGACACATCATCCTGTTTGTGACGGTTTCAACAGCACTAAAACCATTCCAAAAAACAGGACACACAGGCAGGCTGGCAGAGACAGACAGAGAGACGAGATCTCCAAGGAGGGATGAAAATGAAATAAAAGTGTCTTTATTAAAAGTTATACAGGAAGAGGAAGCTGAGAACAGGTTGCACAGATGTTGTGAAAGTGGAGGCTGTTTCGACATGCCGCTGAACGTGGATGTGTTTCGACATGCGACAGTGATCGCTTACAGCTTTATACTTTTTTTTTTTTTCGTCAGACTCGTCACCAACCAGCTGAGCAGGATTAAGGAATGTGTTTGACGCGACAAATCACAGCAGGTAAGCAGCAGGCTTCTGCGCTTGTGATTTAACCAGGTCTCCATCCTGATTCCATGTCCAGAAGGCGGTGAGACTCACTGCATTTCTGAGGTGATCTCCAGGAAGTAGAAGCGCTGGTCTGACACCACCAGGAGGGATGCAAACTCCTCGGCCTGGCCAGACCTCACCACCGACATCTGGTGGGGGGGGTGGTAGGGGGGTTAAGGTCGGGGGGCAACCAGGTAAACTCCAGAGGAGCCAGATGTCAGTAGCAGCCTCTGTGGTTTACATCCCAGCTTGGGAACTAGAAAACACAGCATTCATTACTGACTAGGAGGGACCCTTCTACTGTAGCCTTAAATGGCCATTTTGACTAAATAACTGCTAATTAAACAGAAAAGAATATATGCAGTAAATAAAAATAGACATAGGTGTTAACAATGGGGATCTCAGTATTAGAGTCAGCTACAGTATGTACCAAGATATTACTGAAGGGTATATAATAACGGTATCAAGTGGGTTAAATTAGGGCTGCACCTAAGCCTTGCAGGATGGTAGATCTCCAGGAGCAGGGTTGGGCAACATGGTTAAGGACATATTGATGAAATCCCAGAAGGGACTACAGCGTTGGGCACAAGGTACCACCCCGTTCAAAGATCTCCCTGCATAAATGGTGGGAATGGTGAATCACTCTGGAAGTAAGTGCGGACAGTGGGTGAGGAGCCCTCCTTATGCCATGCCGACACCGCCTTACCTTGAGGAAACAGCGAAGCTCCTCTGAGTCCTCCTCAAACACCTCCATGTCTAGGTAGAGCTTCAGCCGGTGATCCACAGCCTCAAAGTCCTCAGAGAGCAGGTCAATCTGGGCTGCGGGGATCAGTCAGAAGCCACTGATGTGGGCAGGTTATCCCTAATACACTGCACATGCCATAATCAGTGATTCTAGCCCTGTGGGACTAATGCGGGGCCTTAATGCGGAGCTGACGGCCAGTGTGACTCCCTCTCTCAAACACCATAAATCTACAGGCATCCATTAAAAAAAAAAAACACAAAAACAGAAATTAACGAGCAAAAGTGGCACTAAAATGTCAGCCAGTAATATTTTTACAGACTTAATGGACGGTTAATTTGCAGTCTAAAAAAAAGCACAAGCAAAAATTTGCCATGAAGTGGAGAAACGAGGGAAAGAAGTTTATTTAGACAAGCCTGGAAAATCCTCAACCTGGCAAGGGCAACAATCCCTGGCGGACGGCACAACATGATGCAGGGTGACAGCATCACAGGGTCGCTGGGTCCTGGCCCTCCTCAGTGGCAAAACAAATCGCTAAATTAAAGAGGACCAGCTATGTCAGAGCCAGGAGGAGCCCTCTGCCTGATTAATGATGGGCAGACCACATCAAAGGGGCCTTGCCTCTGAGGACAGACTGTGAAACCACCAGCAGGGGGGCGCTTCTGTATGGAAGCCATGTGGGCCCAAAGCACCAGTCAGGGTAACAGGAGCAGCTGGACTGATTGACAGCATGGTACCAAAACCCCTAGGTGCAAAAGTGTGACGCAGATCAGTGGGGGACCGAGCCCCCTGAAGGTATGCAGGGCACATTGGGGAAGGGACCTCATTCTACCCCTTTGGGGTAAGAATTAACTTACTTTCTTCTGCTTTCAATGGAAACAAGTTAACATTCTGATCCATGTGTTTAGGGCCAGAGGTTGATCAGAACTCCATGCCATTCAGACCTAGACGCCCTCACCCTCGGTGAACCAACCTGGGCTGGACCCCTCAGCAGGGGGGGTGGCGTTTGGCGCGAGCCGGGGCGTGCTGTAGCTATAACTCAAGCTGGTCGCAAAGTCCAATTCCCTGCCGTGGGCTGAGGGAGGGGCCACTTCCACGTGCAACCTGTTGGGGGTGTGGAAGGCCTGTAGCCCCTCTGATCCCAGACAGGTGCTGCTCCTGGCAGTAAGGAATGTCTCAGTGAGCTGAGATTTCTCCTCTGCTGTTTGCTCCTGCGTTGTCCGCGGGGGGCTTGTGCTGCTGAGGGCCTCAGCCTTTGGGTTCTGCAGGCATTGAGGGGGGCAGCTAGTCAAGAGGGGCAGCCATGCTAAGTAGGAATGAAACTAAACAGAACAGAAACAAACAGAAAACAGAAGGGTGCGCTTCAACCCCCCCCCCACTCCCATCTATCTCCCTAAACTGCCTATTTAGTCCATTTAATTGCTAGAAATTTCTAAAATACACCTGAGATTCTCTTTAAATCCTCAGTGGTCACCCTCACATGGCTAAAGTCCTGAAAGGAAGAGCTGGGCAGCATTACCAGAGTGCTGGAGGCGACGGCCCCATCCTCAAAGGTGAAGCTCGGGACGGCATTATCTGCCTCGCTCAAGCACAGGCCGGGAGTGCTGGTGGAGGGCCCCTGACAAACAGCTCGCTGCACCACGTGATCACTGCCACATTTTGGGCAGGCCAAGGCATCTCCTTTGGGGAGAAAACACTACATCAAGGCTAAAAGTTGTCTGGTTCAAATCCCAGGAGATATCATCCTGTAGTTATACTTCATGTCTGATAGAAATGGTCTGTTTTTAGAATGAAAAATTAGCTCTCTGTAAACACGGCCTGCCAAAACACAGTACTGTGTGATTACAGAGCCACACGCAGGCACACTCAGCATCACAGTCAGGCTGTTCCAGGGACCACCTGTCCCCAGATGCCAGCGTGACCAATTCAGATTCTTTGCAGAACCTCCAGTCAGGGGCCATGTCTGAGCTTGTCGGGTTTGGGTTGTTGCTAAGATGTGAAATTGTGCCAAACTTCCGGCGTCACACCAGACATTCCTGCTTCGCTGTCATGAAGGCAACTCGTGTTACCATTCGTTAGACCACAAATCACAGTTTCCACTTCCGTACTCAACTACTGAAAACAACTTGAATCACTTTGAACGGTTTAGATTACAGGAGAAAGCAAGAGAGGGCGTGTTTCAGGAGAGGATCAGCCTTCATAACCACATATGGACAGTGGTTAGGAAGCCATTCACGCAACACTGCCAGTCATCCAAAGGTACGTTAGGGAAACAACGGTGCCCTCTGGTGGCTGATTAGGATAGTAGCACCTTTGACACATTAACAGAGGAACCTTACCATACAGTTAATGCCTGTCTGAATGGGCAAACTGGGCTGGACCACATGGGATTTGTGGGTTTGAGTGGTTTTTCACGAGAGGCACCACTCCATGACACTCTTCACCCCTGCTGCCAGTGCCCCTGTCTCCCTTGGCCCTGCCTCCTCACCAGCTGAGTCCCGTCCTGCTTCCGTGTCTTCGAGCTCCTGGTCCTGGCAACGCCCCCGATGGAGGAACTCAGCTTGACACCTCAGACACTGCAGGGGGGTACCCAGCAGCTGTTCCGCTGCCTGGCGCCCGTTGTCCTCAGCAACATGTGACAGGATGTCAACCAGCGCCTGTGTTGGGGTCAGGGTATGAGTTTTAAGGAGCGCCAGGTGAAACACAGGCAAAGCCCAGCCAGACATGACCCAACATATCAAGGTTTAATTATGGGTTTGGACCCAATTCTGCAAATGAGGCAAGCAAACACACTTCCTTATGGAAATTTCTGAAGCTCACTCCAGATAAAGTGCACTGGAGGGTGGGGGCAGGTGAGAAACAGATCACTCAACAAGAGGCGTTCTTCCACCGTGCCAGGTACCGTACTTTTGGTATGGTACTTCAAGGTGTTGGTTTTCCACTGGTGTAAAAATTGGTACCGACACCAAATGACATCACAAGTCGAGGCGGGTATTTTGTACTGATTTTTTGAAAAATGGCTGTAGTATATTATACGGCTTGGTGATGTGCAAAATTAATACCAGCATCGCATGTTATGCACATGCAATTTTACGTCACTAGTCAGCTATATTAAAATAAGCCTTTTTCTTACTTTCAATTCTGTACAGACATTAAAATTTGCAATTTAAATTATTATTCCTTTGATAGATGTTTTAAAATCAGTTTAACGTTTACCTCCGCTGCTTGTGTAGGAGTGCTGCATGCGTTCTCCAAGACAATCGTAATCATTTTCATCCTTGCCATTTAAATCACTCGAAGACGCATTTGGGAGAAATATATTAAATCCTTTTTTGTTTTATAAAGACCCCCAATATTTATTGCAACAAAATCACATCACTAGGACAGCACGCTTCATTTATCATTATTTTCTGTTTTCAAGGCGGCGTTTGTATTGTGTTTCAGCAGCAGGCTATTTGCATAACCAAATCGACAAAGAAAGCATTTTAAGACCCTCCCCAAAACAACAAAGTACCAAAGAAGTATGCCAGCTGGTTTGGCACTTTCGGTGCTGGTACTCAACCGGAAGTCAATAGAAAAGCGAAAGTACTGAAAGTATCATACCAAAAGTACGATACTTGGTGCAGTGGAAAAGCACCCAAGGTGTCTAGCCTTCAGTCACAGCACAGAAGTACAAGGTCCTCACCTGTAGTGCCACCTGGGGGTTGTCATCTAGCAGCACATACTGCCGTTTACGCCGCATGCGGCTGATGTAGCTGAAGTTCAGGTGCAGCGAAGGCAGCGTGCGCTCTCCTACCTAGTGGGGGGGGCAGGGGGTATTTATTATCTACCACAGGGACATGACGTCAACACAGAGGATAAGAGCAGCATGACCTCTGACCTTGTCCGCCCACACGGCCTCGGAGGTGGTGACGTCCCTCAGGCTGTCCAGCTCCAGTCGGACCAGAACAGCTCCGCTGTGCATATCCACCTCAAGCAGGTGACCTGGTTTGACCCGCAGGAACAGTGGGCAGGGCAACTTCCTGTCATCCGGTTTCCCCGCTGAGTCCAAAATCACTCCAACCAGCAGGGGAAGACACTGGTCCACTGAGGAAAAGGCTGAGGTTAAACTCAAAAACAGCGGCACCTGTTAGTCTCTTTTTCTTAATGGCGCCTTCAGCAAAGTGTACAGGGAACCCTAACCTCCAAGCTCCTCCTCCTCTGGGGCAGCCTCAACACCCACGACTGTCGGGACCCTCAGGCTGGTCTCCAGGGTGGACTCCCCTTCCCCAGGGCTGCAGCCAGGCCACTGAAGTGTAGACTCTGTCTCCGGGTCAGACCCAGTTTCTCTGGGCTCAGGAGGGAGCAAGGGGGTGGGGAGACTGTCAGAGGGGGCTACAGCATGGCCCGTGATGTGGGTAGAGTTGAGGACACAGTGGCCATTGACAGCCAGCGCCCCAGAGGCTGGATCTGTCTGCCTCACCAGCACCACATCCAGGTGGTGCTGATAGCGCAGCCAGTCTTCACCCAGCTGCTCACGGAACACGTCCATCCTCTCGATTTCCTTCTGGTGGTGGAGCACGATGTCTGTGATATGAAACAGTCTCCACATCATTACTGCAGTGTTTATCCAATTGACCAGCGTCTTTTATACAGCACAATTGTAATGCCTAAAAGCTCACTAGTATTGAAGCTCTGCTAAAGCTGCAGCCATTTGATCACAATTCTTAAGGCTGGTTCATACTTCTCCGTACGCGTACTAGGGGACATGTCCACTCAGACATTTATGATGCGTTTGATGTCAATGTGTGCCTCCATGGACAAACGCCCACTGCACTCCAAATTTGTGTCTGTGCAGCGGACTCAAATTTGCTAGGGTCCACTTTAGATGACATAGATGCTTTTGACGAGTATTGGGGTAGTTCACATAACCTATAGTATTTACAAAGTAATACAACTGCTACATAAATGTAAATACATGTGTATGTGAGAGCAGACATGTCTTGATTTTAAAAACTCACACAAGCTAGTTGAACAAAGTTGGCAACCCTGTGAGCCGGCTCTCTGAACTTGTAAAACCTAGAGAAAGGGACACAAACCTCACTGCTATGGTATGTGTACATGGGATATCAGAATAATATTTGATATTATTATTATTATTATTAATATAAAATATAAATACAACACGTTATGCACATGTGTATGTGGCTTGACCAGAGAAGTATGAACATTTCCATGAACGCATACGCAGAGTTCATATGCGAATGTTGCGCTTGTGCGGATAAGTATGAACCAGCCTTTAGGCAATATGCCACCTACTATCCGTCAGCAGTACTACTCACCGTGCCGGATGACCATGGCCTTGGACTCATGGTCTGTGTCACTTGGCTCAGAAATGCTAGCTCTCCTCACACGCACCCTGTTCTGTGACACAGGAGCAGCCCCCTAAGCACCAAGTACAACGGAGCCAACTGGAGGTGGCAGCACTGACACGGGGGGGGCTCACCTTGGATTTCTTTTTTGGTAACCGTGTCACCCCCGGTTCACTCACAGAGAGGCTGTCACTCATGTCCCCACCTCCGCTGGAAACTTCTGTGGCCCCCCGCTCGGGCACTATGGCAACTGGAGGCATGGTCTGCCCCAGTTGTCCAATCAACTGCCCTGACTTGGGCAGAACCTTAAAAGAAGAATGACTCTGAGTTTTGGAGCCAATGAGGTGTTAACGCTGATCTCAGAGCAAAGCCCAACTTCCCAATACTCACAGCCAGCTCAGAGGATGTCAGGAAGCTGCCGTCCAGTTTGAACTGTAGAAGAGATAGAGAATAAGTTATTGTGGGCCATGCAAAGGCAACTTCAAGGGGCCCTGCTAACCACATTCCAGCACATTTCTGTCTACTGAAACAGATGCTGTACCCAATTGCCCTGGCCAAGTCGGCACATATGGCCAGGATCTCAATGATGTCAAGCTTTGAAACACAAGTAGAAGTCAGTCAGTGAACAGACTAGGGACAATACAGTGTGTAGCTCAGCAGGTCAGATCAGAAGGGTTAGGGCTTTGGAACATCTGTGTCCTTGAGCAAGGCCCTTAACCCCCAGCTCCTTGGGCACCACAACAGGTGGCTGTCCTTCGTGGCCAGCTTGCTCTCACCTATGGAGAGCAAGCTGGGGGAGGCATAAAAAGACTTTATTGATCGCTGTGGGGAAATGATCAATTATTACTATTATTACTTCACTCACAAAGTTTCATTCTAGGCCCCCGATTCTGTCCACTTCTTCATCCGCTATGCCCCCTGCTGGCTTAGAATGTGAAAGGTTGAGGTCTGATGGAGGAGAGAGACCCTTACCCTGCTCAGCGCCGCCTTTGGGGAGAGGTGTTTCACCGTGCTGGTCCTGTGGCTTCTGTGGAAGTACAGAGGGTTCCCTTCCAGCTGGAGCTGAGGCAGACAGTCAACAGGGTCCAGTTAGGGAGCCTTGTTGAGCAGCTGGGAACAGGAAATGCACTCTATACAGACAGTTAATCACAGCACTGTCATATATGTGTGCGCCAATGTGTAAACAAAAGAGAAAATCTGCAGCCACAGTATCCCATTCTGCTACAAGGGGCTCACCATGCTGAGGCAGTGCAGGAGCGATAAGGGTGCGAGCTGGGAGTGCTCCAGCAGCAGGTTGTATGCCAGGTCCAGATGCTGCAGGCTAGAGAGCTGCTCCACCCCTGCAGACAAACAGTGTTACATGGATGGATGGATTTAGGGGAAATTGACTTCACCAGGTGGAATGAAGCGAAAGTTCTGGAGAGATGATGGAAGCAGGAAAAAGCGACAAAGGGGCTGAATTGCAAGTTTTACACCTGTGGTGATGACACGGTGGCTCCCTCTAGTGATAGTTCTGGGGTGCAGCCTCACCATTGATGGTCTCCAGCTCATTGTTCCTGAGGATCAGTGTGACAAGCCGGGCACGGCCACCCAGACCCAAAAAGGGCATCCTCTGCAGGAAGTTGTATCCCAGGTTCAGGTGCTCCAGTTCACTGAGAGGCTGCAGAATAAAGGAGAGCCATGATCACACAATGAGAAGCAAATTTTGGATTCCTGCCAGCAGGAGGCAGTGTGGCTAACAATAAGAATTTGTTAAGGTGCAGTGACCTTTTATATCAAGAAAAATGTACATCTTGCCCCAAATAATTTTCATTTCACATTTCACAGTGTGACATCAAGTGTCAGAGGGATGTGTTCATTTCACGGTGGTTTGAAGCAGTGGTCAGTTCCTGACTCACCCAGCCAAGTAGCTGACAGTGGGGTGGAGTTTTCACAGGAATGCTGTGCTGACATCACTGTCATTACCACTCATCTATTTAGCAGAAACACTCCTGGGATGGAGGATGAGAGGGGGTGCAGGAGCTTACCAGGAGGAACTTACTGCAGTCCTGTATCTTGTTGTGGCTCAGGTCCAAGGACTTCAGGACATTGAGCAAACTCTGGATGGCAAAGCAGAGTGCGATGAAGACATCACATCACACAGTGGCATTGAGGAAGACCCGGCAGCAGCCTGCAGCTCATAGCTACCATGAGGCTGGCAGGGCAGATATGGGTTCCGACAGATGCTCAGGAACACCTCCTAATCTTACCAGAGATTCGTCGAGGCTTACGACGGAGTTGTAGCTGAAGTTGAGAGTGTGCAGCTCCAACCAGGGCATAGCAGAGCTGAGGTCCCCTCCGCAGAGGGAGAGGAGCTCCTGGGAACACGGACACGCACACAGACACATGAGAACGTTACCAGCAGCAGAAGACTCTGACAGATTAAATATTCGCTACCCTCCAAAGCATCCTCTGACGGAGCAGAGGCTGGGTGTGGTACACTAATTATGACGACAGTGAAGGTCTCACCACTGCTGAGGCCATATAAAATTATTAGTAGCTGGGAGGGCCTTGTACACGCCCCATATGGACCTACCTCCAGGGAGCTGATGCTCTTTGAGCACATAAAGACCTCCAATTGGGAGTAGACTGCTCTGAGGCCCTCCAGACTGTGCGGGGGCACACGCTTCAGCTGGGATATCAGACATACACTGCGTTAGAGTGCAGGTGAGCACATAAACATACACACGCATTCAAACAGGTATTAGGCCAGGCACAATGGAAGTGTGTCAGCCTCCGCGTCTACAGGCACCTGAAACTGGCAAAGATCTTTCATGTAAAGCTAACAATAGAGACGATTTTGATGTTAGAGATTCCACCCAGGTGCAGAGTGAAACCCAGTACTTTTTAACACCTGCAGCTGGGCTGAGGCCTTACCTCCAAGCACCTGAGGGACTTGAAAGGGAAGATCTTCACCACAGACTGCAACCTAGGGCCAGGAGGGTGAATCAGCTACGTTCAGACCAGGGAGAAGACAAAGGACAAAGAGAGAGTTAAACATTCCCACCTACGAGGCAATTATCCAAAAACCACTATTCCCATCAAACCCCTGTGAGAAACAATGGTGAAAATATTTGCAACAAACCCTCCCAAAAGCAGGGATTGACTACCATAAGCCAGGAGTCTGTGATGATTTACTTTTGAATGATTTTACTGGGATTGCTGGTACAGTTTTCACAAGCTGCAGAAGTTACTGTACCTTAGTACAGAGAAACTTAATTGTTTTACTTAAATATCCATCTGCAGAAACAGATAAATGCACACAGATGTGTAAGCTGGCTAAAAAGCTTCTACAAGCAGGTTAAGGATATCTGATGCTTTATTTAGCACTTTGGCGCATATGCTCGCACCTTGAGGGAAACCGTCTTCTGCAGGATGTCGAAGAGGAGCTGCAGCTGCAACAGGGAGGAGGTGTCGGCCGGGTGTGATGGCAGGGCCAGGAAGCCATGTTGGTGCGTCCGTGACAGTAGGTAGCGCTCGAAGAGACGCGTCAACTGCTGCAGGTGGGTCACTTTCAGCGTCAGCGTGCTGGTCCCATCCAGCACTGAGTCGCCTTGGTGACAAGGACACAGGAGGGTAACAAATACAAGTTAAAATGCAGGGTGTTTTCACAGGACCTTTTCACAGGGAGTTTAACCTGTGACATCACATACATGTCCACCCACCGATCCAAACCAATGATGCCCATATGCCAGGTCATGAGAAAGAGACCAAAATGTCATGCTGCCTGATGACCAATAAGCAGTGAATCCAAGAAAAACAAAAGGTGTACAGCATGTGAAGAGTTACCAGAGTTCCTCAGCAGTGTCGCCAGACTCTGTACAAGTGTGGCCTCGCCACCAGGGGGAGCTGACATCCTGCCAAAAGAATGAAAAGCGTTCACATTTACTGCCCTGCCATGATGCACCATTTCACTTCCAGTCCAGTCAAAATTAAATGAACCGTCTAACATGTATACTGTAAAGGTACAAACACAGAAGAAAGAAAGAGGGAAAATATAACTAACCATGACATTAAAAACGCCCTATTCAGCAGGATCTGCTGGGTTAAGTTTTAACATCATATGTTTAAAGTTCAACCCGCAAATTTGGATGTATTAAATAAAGGTTTCGCGTTTTCGTAACTTATAAAAAGAAGTAAAATACGTTAAGCAGTTTCGCAAATTAAGCTTCCCGACGTCCCCACTTCCACAACGGAGAAGTAGATGTTACGCGTTGGGTGCACAGACAGAAATTGTCTTTTAACAGCACAGATGACAAGGGGGACTACAAGAAAACTGTTTTATAAGGAATACAACCCCACAAGCATTCTCTATTGCAAATGTTTGGATGGAGCAGGCTCCGACAACATTAACAAGACAATTAACACGACATGTGATGCCGAACACACGGAAGTTAAATGCTAGTGGAAATGAAGTGAGATGAAGCATCAGGAGGCGCCAAATTGCGCAGACAATAATGACACATAAAGCAGACCGACCATCAACAGCCACGAAAGAAACGGCCATGCAAACTCGGTGACAGGCACCTTTCACGCCTTCATAGGGCAGCAGTCTCGGCAGGAAAACAGTACAATCTGTAGGTTCCCAGCTCTCCTAAACTGGAACTTTAAAGACGGGCTCCATAACTCGGTGACATCACATGTCTTTTTCCTATTATTGACATGTACTACACTATTAATCACGTGATCAGTCAGCAGATCACTCTACGGCAGCTGCAAAGGGGCAAAAAAAAAAAGTCGTAGTGCGTACCACTCGACTCGTATGTTGAACTAGAGACCCACACAGAGTAAAATTCTTTTGATCCGTTTTCCTATTTCTCTTTCAGCATACGAATTTCCTGGCATTGTAGGCATAGCAGTAGGGTATGCTACGTTCCACACATTAATTATATTTTGCATTGATTCTATGTAACGTGTAAAGCTAAATGGACATCAACTCAATGTCTTAAAACAAAGGAGCGAACATGGACTACTGTTATATGTTCACATGTATGCGCAATGATTTGAGATTCCCAAATTAAATGTCTCCCTTAATTAAAATTTAAAAAAAAACTACAGGCATTGGCAGTGCTGCACATTCCTTGTGATGACACCAGCGTCAGTCATATCTGCAGACAGATCTTAAAACAAGAGTGACGCTGGTTGAGCATCCGCAACCTGCATGGTTACATTGTCGCACCTAAAACAATAACCTTATTCCGCTTCATTTTTTGTGTAGACATCCAGTACCTTAATTCTCTAACCATTCTTATACGCTTGACTGTTTTTAAATGTAACATTTTATTGAAAGATCCCCTTTAATAGGGGGGTACTTGTACAGCTGCCTGTATTTCTGATCACCCCCTCCCCCACCCCATTTAAGAGCACCGAACAGACATACACTCCCACGAAAGCCGTGCGTTATCCCGAGCATCACGTGTCCGCGGGTCCGGGAGGGTGGCGGCCGCTGCGCTCCGTGCGCTCCACGCCCGCAGCGCGCCGCACCTCACCGCACGCCTTCCGCCACGACAGCCTCTACCAGCGCACAGGTAGGCGAGCGAAAAACTGTCCCCAGACGGAGGCAGGCTGCTCCTTAAGCGGGATGCCATTGACACGGTTATCGGAATAAGGAAGGATCCCTCCAAGATCCCTTTACGCGCATATCGGGAAGGCGGAATAGCCATACGCGGGAATGACATCCCCTCCAGCAGAGAGGGCTTAAAGCGCAGCGGTCGGGGATACGCGGATACCTTCGCCCGGAGCCACGGCCGTACTCGGAGCGCTATCTGCGGGATGCATGTGGGATCCCGGGCAGGTGACTGTGCACCGATTGCGGCTTTGCGCCGCCCAGTGTCATTTCTTCTAATTCCAGGGCAATCGCGGAGCGTCGGAACTGGAGAATACGCGTCTCATCTTTGAGAAATTATTGACCTGCGGCGGCACGACTAGCATGACACGGACTTTTCCTCTATTAATATGCATGGTACAAAGAAACGTAAATGCTGAATGACAGGCCAGCGCAATGCTTTTGGGAGGGTGGTCTTCTGGAGGAGCCCAAACTGGGTTATATGATGGGAGATGCTCAACGTCGACGGGTCCGTGTGCGGATATTTAATACAGCCTATGAAGTATTGAATAACTACCGTCTCTCTTTCTCAATTCATCATCGCCCAAGGACACAATCAGGCTATTTACAGCATCTAGAGTATATATTCACAAAATGCTTTTTTTGAGTGTCTACGCAAACATTCTTCAACGTTTCATTGTAAGAAACATACTATTCTGTATTGTTTTAAATAGACTGACATCAACGTACCTGTCAAGGCACCGTCCTGTGCAGAAAATGCATAGCTTTTTAACATCCTTCAGCAGAAAAAATAAAACTATTATTTAAAAATAACAACAGGTAACTCGATAGGGGCCGCCTAAACACCATATTGATAAATGTTAAATCATATAGTTCGGTTACAAACGTACTAGTTTACACGTTAGATGCGAATGATGTATTATTGATTTATTTATTATTATGTTTTATTGTACACAAACCATGCTACTTTAAAGGCTCTATCGACAGTGTTAATTTAACACCCGGTATCCATACAAGTTTAAAACTTGAGTAACCTTAGCATTATGCCAGAGCGAGAAATTAATTGACGTTAATCAAGGTCCAGTTCAAAATAAGGTCTTCTCGTTTCTCCGTTGGTGACAAGTTCGAGTTAATCTTACTGCAAATTGAAATATAAGTGTTCTGCGTGCACGACCTCCAACGCCTTGCGGAGGAGGCCCCACAACATAAGCTGAAACATATGCATTTAAAACCGGTGTCTCATCGTGGTTTTTCCGTCCTGTTCAGGGGGCGTAGACTGTCAAATGACACCCCCAAAATTCACCCAGGTTTGGCCTCAGAGACGGACGCCGGCAAGCCAATGGCCTGTACTACGAAGCGAGATTACTGGTTTATCGGGGTAACTTGTCGGATTTAAGGTAGTCTGGGCAAAATGTAAGTGAATGAATATGAAGTCCATTTAAAGTTAAATCCGACAAGTTACCCCGATAAGCCAGTAACCCCGCTTTGTAGTACAGGCCACTGGTGTTGAAACCTCCACTGTGTTTGCAGAGAAAAATTAAATGCACATTCATGTTTATTTCCCCCCTAGTGCTGGTTGGGTTTTCCTGTCTAAATGTGATAGAGGCTGAAAGCTTGAAATATGAAAGCTGTCTTAGAGACCTGTATATCTATTGGGTGTTGTTGTTTTTTTTTTGTTTTTTTTTTTGCTATTTTTGTCTCCAGTAAGGCACATTACTTGTACATGAAGACCAGCTCCACATGTGGTAGCCTCTGTTTTTTCACTAAAGAAGGTCATTTTCTGTTAGTGTGGACAAAATGGCCAAATTTGGCCTTTTACCTGTGCAGGGTTCATACCCATGTTTGTCAGCTTCTGATTGCATGCAGACCACAAGGCCAAAGACCAGACTGGACTATCCAGTGGCAGACTGGTATCTGTGAGGCATCCCTGATGTCACATTCTTATGGGCTAAATTGCTCATGTTCTCACACTGCCTGTAATTATTGGCCCCTGTCTTTCTGAAGATGATTCATGTGCATTTTCCATGCCGGCATACGTCTAAATACTGATTTTTGCTTCTGTGTCTATCCTACACTGTAACCATGCACGTAGCCTATGCCGTACACTACGCCATAGAAACCAGTTTATACTGCTGCATTGGCATTCAATGGTATGTGAGACATGTCTGTGCTGATACGAGACTTGGGGAAAAAAAGCCACATTTCACATATTTTTTAAATGCCAGCAGACATTTGATGACTTAGTTTGTCGACTTTGCTCATTTATTGCAGATCATTTTATATGAAAAACACCTATTAACATTCCTGAGAGACTGGCAATCACCCTCCATGTCCAAGCTTCATGTACAAGCCAACAGGCTGCTGCAGTTAGTCTCAAGTACCGTACCCTCCTTAATTTTGGACGCCTGTAAAGGTCTGTGGAAAGCAAACCAGAGTTCCTTCCCTATATTTACCAAGTGGATCAATCAGAATCATAGGGGTCAAAGTTACGTTTTTGGGGAGGGGCTCATCAGTCTACACTGTAGCTATGCTATAGACTTGACACAGAAGTGTCGATCAGCCTTTATGCACGTCTGACCAGAATTGCTGGGGTTCCTGGTGGCACAATGCAGGGGTGGCTTTTCTATGTGACTTGTCACTGCCTATAAATAGTTTGGACTGATAGATTGGTGTAAGCAGTTCTCAGCACATCATGGAGGGGTCAAGGCCATATAAAGACATGTTTCCGCATCACAAAAACGGAATTGTACTACTTGTTTGAGTGTAACATTCCCTAGTGATGACATTGACAATTCAGAAGGAGGCCATTCAGGACATACATATCCCTGCTGTTCTGCTCTCCTGATGTAAACTGGCAGTCTTTTGTGTTTTTTGTGCTCCTTTGAGATGGATCACGTGGCTGTGTTCATCACCTGTGATCTGACCTCGTCACACTTCATTATTGCACGTAGTGAAGATGTGAATGGAGCTGGCCCATCTCAATACAGGTCTATGTGAGTCACAGTGAAATGTCTGACATTTGCCATGCTGAATGGTTCTGGTCCAAGTCAGAACAATGCGAAGATTCTGATAAAATACATTTGCAATGCATATGGACTTAAAATTATGCATTCATGGGTTGATTTGCAAATGAATATTGTATTGCATTTTGCATGAGTTTTTCTCAAAAAGAAGCTGTTGAGAACATCATGTCAGTCTGTCTGGAGTGCAGTATTTATAGTTGCTGCTGCAGTTGAACAAAGATAACATATTCAAAGAAGGCCCTTACATTTGACCTTTAAAGCACCTTAAATACATTCTTTTCTTGTTAAACAGGCAGCCTGTTTCAGAGTCCCTATTATGTTATACTGTGTATTTGGGAAAGTACCATCTATTGTCCCAGCGTAGTCCTGTTCTCCCCACCTTCATTTGTATTTATTTATCTAGCAGACACACATTTGTGATAGTGGGGTCTGCTAGTCCCTGGAGCAATTGGGTCTGACCCTGTGATTAGAACCAGCAACCTTCTGCTCACAAGTAGAGCATCCTAGCCTGCTGAACTACACACCACCCCTCCACTAGCTGCTTGGCTGCATGGTCCATGAGGGTCCTGGTAATGGTCTGCTCTTGATGTGATAAACCCATCAGTCTTTATGTGTTATGCATAAGACTGGGATGTTGGGACTATGGAATTTTACATGAAATTGTTTTTCAAAGTCCTGGACAACAGCTGGTTCCACATGTGTCTCTGGACACTCAACTGGTCTGTTTTAAGAGCCAGTATACCGTTACACCCCTAGTAATTACCTGATCATTTATGTACCAATGTGTTCAAACTAAATCATCACTAATCAAAAGTATAATGGTGGGTTGTTCCTTTGATTGGCCAAAAGGGTACTCGATCTGATCTCTGAATAGTGCCCGCCCCTTTGACAGTGCCCGCCCTTCTGAACAGTGACCACTCCTGGCCCTACAGGTACGAATTACTTTTGCACCACATTTCGTTGAGATATTTGGTGCGAAAGTGAGAGCACGTGAGAAAACAGTACTTGAGACTCGTAGCGGCAGATTCCCGCTAGAAAAATGACCAAGAAAAATATATAGTTGTGAGAAAATGTTCTACGTGTATGCAGCTCTCATTGTACGAATTCACAAACTAATATGCCAATGTGTCATTTTTGTCTATAAGTTCACATTTTTGGGTTACGGGTGTGTGAATGTGTTTTGCACCATATTTACTGTGGCAAGTGTAGCAAAACTGCGAGCGTATGAGTTTCTTAATTTGTGATGCGTGGAATAGGATTTGTGCACTTGTAATGAAGAATTTGAGAAAGTGTAACCATTGTGTTGTGTTCGTGGAAATCCCGTGACTTCAAATTTACTGATACACATGTGTGACTCTTTTCTACAGCTACAGATTGCACTGTTACAGATGCTCAGGTGTTTTACACCAATAATACCTCCATACTGAAGTACTAAGCCCACCAGGACATGCAGAAGCTTATGCCCCTTCCCTGATCTCTAACCCCTCCATTCCCCACAGGTTATGCCACCCAACAGGTTGACTGGAGTCCCAACCGTGAAAGAAAACGGCTGATCCTGTTCCAATCCCACCTGCCCTGCTCCCACCTTGTGTCCCCATGGCGGCAGGGGGCCATGCCAACGAGACAGATGTGTTAATCAACCTGCAACAGGTAACACGCATCTTTCCAGACAGCAGATTTCTGCCTATTGACTTTCCACTAAGGTCAGAATTAGTTGCTACATTATTGCAAGGCCACCATGGTGACTAGTGGTTCAGTGTCAGAGGGCTTCCTAAGCGACGGGCCAGTGGCATGTGCTGAGGTTGCAGGGAAGTGACACAAACTGAGAGTGTTGTCAATATGACATGTCACTGCCAGCGACTGTGAGCAGGTCCCGAGACAGAATGGCACAGTTTTTCAGGCCAGATAGGCCCTTCATGACTGGTATCAGACCAGTGGCGAGCAACTGGGAGAGTCGGCTGGGCCTCAGAGCAGTCAGTGAGGCCAGCATGGTCTACAGTGGTGGCTCAGGGTGGGCCAGGTTCTGGAGGGAAGACCGGCATGTTTGGCATCATGGTGTTAGAATGTCAAGCTCTGATGAAGGAGGCTCAGCACCGGCCTGGCAGGAAGACAAGGCCTGACTCATCCATAGCTTCAGAATAAACAGTGGACACAGGCCTGAGAAGAATTTTCGATGTTCTGGACCCAACACAGCTCCTGCACTGGCCTGTCTCAGAAACTGCCAATGAGGTTTGGATGGGCGGTCCCCATGGGGAAGCCAGCACATGATTAGCCATCCTGGGAGGTGCTTATTAATTTGCTCAAATCGAAGCAGTGGACATCAGAGGGAAAGGGACTTTAATGTGTGGGTAAATCTGTTCAGGTAGTCACCTTATATGTCAGACTAGCTCTGAGCCGAACTTGGTGTGTTTGTGACCACAAGGTTGTTAAATTCCCAGGTGCTGTTATGTTTTTGATTCAGGATCTAGTACAGTATCCATGAAAAGGGCTAAAAGGGCTGTGCTGAGGGACTTTTATCATCTGGCATATGAGGCACTTAATTCTGCAAGGGGAGGAATGATAGGCAAATTAAATACAGCTAGATAGTGGGTGAGTAGATTTGCCTGCTGATGCAGCCACTTTGTGTGTGTGTGTGTGTGTGTGTGTGTGTGTGTCTGCATGTTCCATGAACAGACCCACCGGATGTGCACAGAGAGCCTGGACACCTCACTCTGGAGTCTAACAGGAAACGACAGAAAATGGAAAAGAAGTTTCCTATTTAGGTCGCCTCAGATAAATATAGTCCTGTGTCTGAACCTGGAGGTTGGAGAGTATATACCACAGGGGTCTCCAACTACGGTCCTGGAGAGCTACCGTCCAGTAGGTTTTCTATCCTAATTGGCTTCTGATGAGCCACACCTGGTCTCAGGTAAATACCAGGAGCAGGTGTGTCTCATCAGAAGCCAAGTGGGACAGAAAACCTACTGGATAGTAGCTCTCCAGGACCGGAGTTGGAGACCCCTGATATAACAGCTAACCGAGCAGTGTATATAACAGAGTATATAACTGTGAGTGTATCTCACCAAGCAGTAGAGCTGGGCGATATGGCCTAAAAATAAAATCTCAGATTTTTTCACAATAAATCCGATTTTCGATTTTAATCGATCTTCCCCTCCCCTACTCAAAATCAAACTACAGATGACAAAGAAATGGTTCAAAAAAGTTTTAACTTTATTTTGTTTTTTTTACTTTAGGGTTAAAGTGCAATTTGACAAGCCAAAAAAGATGCTTGTAAGTGAGATGGCAGACCACGCCATTGTAAACACTTTTAGAAACTTGTAAAAACTTTTAGCATGCTAATGAATCCCGGCTTTTCCACAGTATGTACGGGCACCATGTCTTTTGCAATATACATCGCGACAGCATTTGTTATCGCCTTCCACTGTGCCCCATTCTTATCATATGGCACATAGTTCAAAAACGTGTCAGGGACGGTTGCTTGCTTAACTTTGGATGTTGTGCTGGTGCTGCGGCTATTTTCATTTCACTGGGAGCTGCACTTCTCCCACTCCGCTGCGTGCCTCTGCTTTAGGTGCTGGAATAAATTTGTTGTGCTGCTTCCTTTGGTTGCACCACTTTTTAAACAGACTTTGCAACTAGGACTTGTTTGGTCTGTGTCCGATGGCGCAAAACCAAACCAATTCCATATTACAGTTATAGCAACACCTTTCTTGGGCCCAAGCTCCAGCTTTTCCCCTGTTGTCAAGAGCATCTGGTTGCAGACCTCCACCAGGAGGATCTCCACTAGAGGGATGGAAACACGTGACCTCCACAAGTGAGTCTGGACATGACATTATGCAAACTTACGCCATGGAAGCAGTACCAGATATCACATTATCTCCACGCACAGCCTGGGTTTGTTAGTGGGAGAGTGTTTAGCTTTGTCGAAAGAAAAAAGTGGGTAGAACAAGCAACAATGGTAGCATTCGACCGGTGATTTTTTTTCTCTCCAAATTTAGCTTTAAATTGGTTATTTAAACTTAGACTGAAAAAGAAAAAAATATTTATATTTATTTAGTTCTGAATCTGTTTAGCTTTAGTGAACTAGGCAGCTCTGTTACAAATGTTACATGTGCTGTGAAATGAAGTAATTATTACTGTACATGACAATTATTCTTATTAATTTTACTATTTTGGATGCACATATCTATATGGGATGTTAATTCACAGCCGGTTCTGGACAAAAGCAACATCTGGACTGCCAGAAAGCTCTTGACAAACTAAAACAGAATGATCGATCTGGATGACCTTGATCCCTTTCTTTTTGTTTCAATACAAAGAAGATATGGAACACTTTCTTAAAAACTGTGTTGACAATCAGCACCTCCGGGTCAATGCTATATTTTTATTGCCTTAGGGATGAGCCGAGGTGCTCATCATTATAGTCTTTATTTAAAGTTAATTTTTAATATCTTTGTTTTAATAATCATATCATTGTAATAAAAATAGTTCAAAGTAGACTGAGTCAGTTTTGTTTGTTGGTTTCCTAATTTATTCTTATATTTTATTCCACTCACATCTAGACGCTCCTCCTACAATTTTTGAGGAAATGTGTCTCTAGTTATTTATGCAATTGTTCATATTATATATTTATATGTTTATATAATAATAAAGCTGTTACTTTTCCAACCCTATGCAAATGGATACATTAATATTTAGGCTAAAACCGCTAAAAACTTTTATGCAAGCAACTGTAGAGCTATTGGTAAAGCCTCCACAAGGTTTCTTGTGTGGTTGAATGAGCTATTGGGACATTTTATGTCATGTCTCATGTCATGCTTTAAAGGTCTGTCAATTGCACTTTGTTTCCTTTGAAGTTAAGAAGTTCGATATTTTTCTATCAAAAGTCCCTTAAGTCCCATAGAGTGATTTTTTTTATCGTGTGCGCACAAGTTATTTGGAAGGAACAGGTTAGCTGCGTATAGCTGTCATGTTGTAAGAGGTTTATTTCAGCACGCCGTAATACGTTTGCTAGACCTGGCATTATGGTACAATAAGATACAACAGCCTTGTAATTAATATTACTGGAAGGAGTAAATACAACGTTGCCGCGCACTACTTTGACATTAAGGCTGAGGTATACAGTCCGTGTGAATGGTCGCGACAGAGGTGAAGCGCCATGAACAATACTTTTTTCTTTCATTATCGGTAGTCAATAATAAAACAGGTACAATAAATGCAATAAATAGGTGTCAGTAATGACAAGAAATGTTAGGGGAACTTGGTTAGGCGAACAGATCAACAAGCCGAGTAAAATGGCAAACATAGTATGTCTTGACGCAACCGAACCAATCATCAGTGTCAACAATATTAAAGATGCACAAAATATAGCCTGCGTGCAATAAATTGTGACCATGTTATATAAATTATGTAGTACTTTTGATTAATTATTTGAATATGATTCGCAAATAGACGGAATATAGGGTTATGCATACTAATATTGACACTGATGTTTTGTTCGGTTGCGTTAAGACAGATTATGTTTGCTACTTTAATCGGTTTGCTGATTTGACGCCGAGACATAGTTTTGATAGACATACTTTTCATATTACTTTCGTCCTCAAACACAGAGTAAATTATCTTGCGCGCACAGAATAAATTGTGAGCACAAAAAAAATTACTTGTGCGCACACGATTTAAAAAAAAATCACCCTATGGGACTTCGGGGGTTCCGTATTAAAGTGAGAATTTCACACGTACCGAAATAATAAAATTAACATATGCTATTAACGTCCCTTCTTGTAGAATTAAAATTCATTATTAACGACCGTTTCCAATGTTAATATAATTTAAATCGATCACCAAAATAATAAGTTTATACTTTAAAAGAGTCGATTTCTGTTCGGTCGAGTTAAAGTCCGGGCTGTGTGTGACGATTACGTGAAATCTGGATTCTGGTACCATCTCCACGGCATGTTTGCATAACGTCATGTCCGGATTCGCTTGTGGATATCACGTGTGTCCGTCCCTCTAGTGGAGATCCTTGTGGCTGCCCGATCTGCGGTCCTGGCCCGATCTGCAGACGCATGCGCACACTGGTTTTCCTTGTACGTCACTATTTGATCTGTCTACTGATTACTGACTGCCTGGCCGATAGGCGAGCGCATGCGCAGTGCACTGACGTCCGCGAACGCTGCGCAATGCACCAAATTCCGTAAACGCCTGCCCGATTATGTTTTTACATTACAAATCAACGTTACATATTTGACAGATCATCATACAGTAATTAGTAATCATTGCTTTACTCACAACTAAGACAAGCGCAGACAATAATGCATTTGTAGAAAAATGGAATGCAGTAGAATGTCTTATTCTAAGCGAGTGTATGGTACAATTTCTGTAGAGAATGTTCAAATGGCCGCATACATATTGAATATAACTAATAACAGTTAGTTGTTGGAATATACATAAGTAAATAAATCAGATAAATATTCACCTAAACTAAGTTCAAATGCAATATTCCCAATAAACAGACTGAAAAGTGGATGTTGATCCTTTTGTGGACTGTCTTCAATATTTAAATACTGTCCATAGTGTTTTGTATGCTGTGTATATTTAACTAACAATACATTTCCCATATATTTTGTCTTACACCAAGTGTCCATGCTTAAAAGATTCACTCTGTCAGGACTGCTTCTTAGAATCTTGGTTCCTCTCACGTTTTCTTTGCTGTATTTAAGCTGCGGGGAACTGTGGCCCTTCCTAAATGTGCTTATTATGTTTTGAGAAGTTATCAAGATCTTCATAGTGTAAGCAAAACAAAATTATCACAGTGTCAACCTGAAATGGTGCATTATATACAGCTCAGATGTATATAAGGAATGAAACAATGAGAAGAAATTCTAGAAATGCAAATATAAGCAAATACAAGAACATAATAAAATATTAGGTCAGTGTGCAGATAGCATTAGCAGTGGTAAGTTCAAGATCAATTTATCTTCAGGTTGTGTGCAACTCATTTATTGTGGGAAGTGAAGAATAAGTGAAGAGCAAAAACACTATGAGGGTAGTCATTTCTTGCTTTATATTTAAATAATTTATTGCAAATAATGTAAAGTAAAAATTCTCTTATGAGAAAAAAAAAGATTTAGAAAAAAGTGAAAAGCAATAACAAAAATGTACAGTTCTACAGCAGACCGTCCTTTTTCATTTGACAGGTTATTCTTGGGTCAAAGTCTTCAATCTCACTAGAACAGACAAAAAAAAGTACACAGTTAACAATGTTACATGCACCATTTAACCTTGCAGGTCTTTTCCTGCAACTCTTACCTTCTGCTATGCTGAAGACCAGCAAGGAACAAGTTCTCTGCTTCCTGTGTGGACACACCTGTCAGCTGAGCTAGAGCACAGATGATGGGCTACACAAAACAAACGAAAATACATTATGAAACACTGTTGTACTAAAATCATGTAAGGTTGTCATTGTATTTCAATAAAAGAACTAATAGGCCATTAAAAGCAAAAATAGTACAAGATACATTTATATGGGAACCTTTCGGATCTGTAGGGCAAATCATGAATGAGAAAGACATGAGACAATATATTAAAATAAGGCATTTGTTATGTGTGTCTGTGTTTCCACTGGGGTTGTTTCTGCCTATAGCTATCATCTGTCATAAATATCATCATTGACATAAAAAAGAATTTTGGTGAAACTGCATTAAATTAATTTGTCGATTCTGTCGATTTGTTCATCTGTCGATTTAGAAGCTTTAAATTAACTTTTTTGACATGGATACCATAGGGATAGAATATCCTACATCTGTATTTATAGTAAATTGATACAGTATGCATCCTTTATCCATGTTAAGCTCAGATACTTTAATAGAAAAAAAACTTTAACGCATATAACATATATACATGCATAGTAAAACAGAATGTGGACTTGCTTTAAATAATTATTCACTTAATTATTGACTGATTTGGTTGTACTGAGATGCAGAGACTTATGCAGGGCTAAAATAAATAATAATAATAATAAATCAACATAAAGAATTGCAAGGCAATTCATTAGTCAACACAGCTGACTCTAAAGTCATCAAGATGGCAAAAGACATTTTCAACAATATTAAAAATTTGACACGGCTGCACGAACACCAGTACTTCTATACAGGAACTTCTATGCAAGAAAACTATACAGATTCAATAATAACACATATACCGGTACCTAACTCGATTTCGCACCGTGTGAAACAAGCAGATATAAATGAACATACCTTTGATCGTATAACTTGGGGATACACGGCGCGGTTAGCTCATATCCCTAGGTGAGACATCACCGACCACTTCTCTACCTACACATGTGTAGCTGGTGTCGCGCATGCGTACACAGATCGGACAGCCACAGCCAGGTCAAATAGTGACGTACACGGAAAACCAGTGTGCGCATGCGTCCGCAGATCGGGCCAGGACCGCAGATCGGGCAGCCACAATTCTCCTGGTGGAGATCTGCAGCTAGAGTGCCAGACCCTTCTCCCTGTCGTTGCCATGTTGTTTGTGAATCTGCTACAGTGTTTGGGTGCGCGCGCTAAATTACCCGTGAAGAACGGTGCGTCGCATTAGTTCCGCTTTTGGCGCTCGCGTGTAAAATAAGTAATGAAATCGATTTTCATAAAAACACATCGTCCTGAACTGTAAATTTGAATTCATCGATAAAATCGATGTATCGCCCACCTCTACCAAGCAGTATATATGTCATTGTGTATAACAGTTTGTATATCTTACACAGCAATGTATATATCACAGTATATAACAGCTTGTATATCTGCCAGAGAAGTGTATATATCAGAGTATATAACAGCGTGTATATCTAACAGAGCAGTGTGTATATTGACTGTATGTCTGAAAGAACAATGTGTATAGTAGAGAATATAACAGCGTGCATACAGTATCTGACAGAGCAGTGTACTGTATATATCAGAGTATATTACAATGAGTATATCTGACAGAACAGTATATATATCAGAGCATATAACAGTGTGTATATCTAACAGACCAGTGTATATATCAGAGTATATTACAATGAGTATATCTGACAGAACAGTATATATATCAGAGCATATAACAGTGTGTATATCTAACAGACCAGTGTATATATCAGAGTATATTACAATGAGTATATCTGACAGAACAGTATATATATCAGAGCATATAACAGTGTGTATATCTAACAGA